TCTGAATTTCGAAGGAACAGAGTCATTAACCAATTCTCTACCCCAATCAACTTCAACAAGTTTGATCTCCTCAGTGGATATGAGAAATGGAATCAAGGATAAGAATTTCTCCAATGACTTGTGAATGTTCATTACCTAGAAAGAAACGAAAAACCTAAGTTAAGGTACAACAAGAAAGTATATTTTGGCATACGGTTTCAGCATCACTGCATTTTCGCTAGAGAGAGTCCCTGAAAATGTAGTTGACAACAGGTATCTGCGTGGACAGAGGTTTAGCCTTCAAGCAGCAGATAAAAGAGATTTTTTGAATTCATGCTGAGATATAAAAGCATAGAAAGCAATATTAAAACTTATGAACTGTCATCTGCTTTCTTATTCACTCTAGTGGCACACTTTAGGTTTAGGCAGTTCAAGCCAGGGATTATTCAAGGCATTCAAGATTGTTCTCCGTTTTCTATTCATATTAACTGGAAATGAGTCTGAGTCCGTGAGTTTTGTTTCTTGAAACGGCAGCGTTTTGTCTACAAGCAATCTGATTTACCACAGATCGAATGAAGATTAGAGCAAAAAGTTGAAAATTTGGCGAATCTTGGTATTAATCTTGTAAATTCAACTTCGAGTTTCAGTTTTCCAAGTTCACTACCTGCTGTTTCTGTAAAGCTCTTTGAAAACAATTATAACTACTAGAAAGCTCTTTGAATTAGATGTTTGAAACAATTCTTTTGGAGAACTGTTTCAAACAGTTTTTAAGTTTAAGGATCAAAGCAGAGTTTTTGGTTATTAAGAAACTGCAAGTTTGTGAATTGACTACTTAAGTGTAGTCGGGGTGAAGATGTTGCAGGGGAGCAATGGCATGATTGTAAATTTTGGATTATCGCCAAGAAGTAATTTTGTGCAGCTTTTTTCTTCATTTTGGTCATACGTCTCAACAGTGGCAATAAGGTGCTATGGGTAAAAATTGTTTAAAAATTAATAGAATACAATAGATAAAAATATGAAGGGTAGAAGTGAGAAAATCATAACTTCAGGGTACATGTAATGGCGCGCTTAAATACGCTGCAAGTGCTTGATTCAGAAGAAATATGTAAATCAATTAATATGCTTATCTCTTAGTCATCTTAGTATAAGTCTCTGGGGTTCTGGTAGCTACTTTTTTATGTTTCTTGCGTGCCATGAGTCACTAATTGAAGTTTGTAGTTCAAGAGATCTTTGAACTTTATCACCTTGGTCCTACATGGATTCTTTTGAACAAACCTTATTTAGTCAATGTTCAACTTTACTATATGTCCCCATAGGTGGCTGAAGTTCAAACTTTGGCAACTAATATATTGATTTCTTTTTTTCGGGATTTGTATTTGATCCTGACAAATGCAGCTGACTTACCTTGGGAGAGAAAACATTACTGGTTTATGACATTGCCCATTACGGCCAAAAAATGCCACAGAGATTCTTAGCTCATTCAGCCACAGGAAGCTTCTTGAAATCGAACAGAGGCTATGCTGAACTTCGAATGATAGGCTCTACTAAAGTTAGTTTTTCAGAAGTCCTTGAGGGATGGATAATTGTCACTTATCCATGCTATCACTTATCTTCTTGTGAGATTTGATTTTGTATATATTTTCATGTATATATCAAGCCTATGACTTCTGAGCTAACAATTAACTTTTGTTTTAAGATTATAAAAATCTAGCTAATTTGATTCTGTTTTGATGGATATGCAAATCAGCTATGATTTGGAGAAAATGAAATTAGAGAATAAGAACAGAAGGATTGCATGGTGGAGTCACCTTATAGTTCTTATAATCTGGCATGACATGTCAGCAAACATTTGAAAATCTGAAAGAGCTCCAACTATTTTTCTGTGATCAATACAAAGAATTTAAGTGCCTATCTGATCTTTCAAATCTTCAAATACTAGATGTAAGTTCCTGTTATAGATTGATGAGTCTAGCGCCATCGGTAGCTTCTTTTCAGAATCTTTAAGTTCTGAAAAATTATAGTTGTAATGAGTTGATGAAGTTAATAACACCTTCAATAGCTAGAAGCTTGGTGCAGTTGAGAGAAATGAGCACAGAGAATTGTGAAACGATGATAGAAATTATAGAAAATGTGGAAGATGCAACAACGCGTACTGAAATTGTTTTTAACAATTTGAAGGAGTTGTCACTTGCAGAGCTAGAAAGTCTTACATACTTTTACTCAGGGAATTACTCTTTCAATTTCCCGTCTTTGGAAGAATTAATTATAAGAGAATGTCTCAATATGAAGACTTCCTCTCAAGGAATCTTAAGCACACCAAAGTCACCCATAGTCATTTTTTAGAGGTGGGATGGATGGGAATTGGAGAAAATGTATGTAGAGAATCAGGAGAGTGACCTCAATACAAGCATCCAAAAAGAAAAACATGTATTCAATTAATTGCTTTAATTCAAAGTTAGTTTGTGTATAGACTGAGCATTATTGTTGAACTAGTGGTCAGCAAACACCTCACTTCACTACTAGAATACACCAAACTTCGACTAAATTTTTTTAAGAAACTTCTAAAACTTCACTGTTTTATAAATTTCTAGCGACCATTATTTCATCATATTTTATATTTCTCCTTGGTTCCTGTTAAATATGTATAAAATTATTATATGTTTTTAAGGGAAATATTAATTTTAATTTTGATTGACATGATTATTCTTTGGGTTGACTCCTATTTGAAAGAATTGACATTAAGAGGAAGGGACATCATGTTGATTTGGGAAGGAGATTTTCAAGAGAGATTTGGCAAAGTAAAAATTCTTCAATTGATTAAGGATGAATATGCAAATATTCCAATTCAAATCCTTCTCAAATTTAAAAGAGCATTTCTCTTTCATTTAGACAGTTGATGTTTTAATTTAGATAAAACTTATATGACATCTTTAATAAAAGATATACATATTTTGTTATTATGGTTTATAGATAATCAAATCATTCTAAGTATCATCGATTTTTTTACTATTTAAATGATCCAACGATCTTATATTTGTAGGTAGGATAGAATTACCCTACATGCTTGAACTTCTTTTTCGTAAATAGTAAAATAATGGTGATAATAATCTTTGAAAAAGTACTCTAATGTTTAACCCAAATATTAAAATTATTGAGGTTAGATTTATTTTGCTTCCATATTAATTGACTTTTATGAATTGTAAATGAAAACCTAGCCTCGCATTCTGAAACACTCAGAATTACAATGAGTATTGAGACATAAATAATATTTCCTTAAAGAGCTCAGAACAGTTGTGCAGCGTGAATCATGCTATATGATCAAGATTTATAAACAAAGTCATGCTAAAGAGATGCTTTAGTAAGTGTAATACTATGATATACCAATGCATTATCCCAAAGATGCTTGTAATCAAGGACCAAGCCTTGTGAGGCCCATATTATCCTCCTGATGGGCCTGACTTTAACTAACCGGTTTTCATTGCGGGTGTTTGTTGTTTTGAAATAAAAAAAAAAAAAACCACATATTAAATAAAATTCATTAAATAAAGTAATATGCACATCATCTTCAAGAATTAATCTTATCTTCTTCTAATCTTTTAAAATTATTCTCAATCAATTAACTTCCTCAAAGCTATGAAATTTCAAATAAAATTGAATATATACCAAACCAAAACAAAAGATAGCTAATCTACAAAACATCAAAAATATAAAATATTAATTTGTTTATGTACAAGAAAGAAATGAAAGGCTTTCAGTAATTAGATGAATGGTCATCAAACTTCTTTTTCTGCCAACAAATTATACAAAACTTAATTAAATTTGGGGTATCTAGTTCCTGTTATGTCAAATCAACCTTAACCATTAACTATTATTTTTATACGTCAAGTTAGTAGAGGTATAAATATTAAAATTTCACTTATATTACACCATTTCATGTCATGTAAATATATTTTATATTGTGCAAGTAGTCTCGAGATTAATAATTATTTCATAAATATGTATTAATCAAACGAGAATCTCGTAAATTCAATTAATTATTGTCAAACATTCTAATACTTTGAATTATCTCTCAACTTTTTTTTTTTCCACCTCATTGAATTTCCACCACAGAATTTCATGGATAATAATCACCATTGGGTGACTCTGTTGGAATCCCACACCGACTAGACATGCTCAAGCCTACTGGTTTATAAAAGAGGATAATCATTCCATTCACCAAGACTTTATTGGGTGAGGAGTTAGACCCACCCAATAAGGTCTTAGACTTTAATAATCAAGGCATAATTTTTACAACAATTGGCACATTTTAAAGAAAAACAGGTTTCTGTCTGAACAACATCTTATCATAGTCTCGATTTCTCCATCTTTTGTTGATGGCTCAAGTGGTGGGTCTCCATCTTAAAATCAATGGATTGATGTTTTGTGTAATTATTTTCTTTTTAGACACGTGGTCTTTAGTTTAAACTTTAATTTTAATTTTATTTTATATTAGAATAAGTAAAAAAGTTTAAAGATGAAATTACTTTTATGTATCATATCATATGCAGATCAATTATTGATGCCCAAGCAGTAGGTTTCCACTTTTATGGAAAATAAAATTGGGAATAGGAGAAAATGCTTTTACAAACACGTTTTGCCGTTTTCGTACTTGGAAACTTTATAGAAACGACTTTGGATCCACCTGGAATTAGCAAGTACTCAAGTGCTTTCTTCGTCTTTTCTTCCTCCCTTCAATCTTCTTTTACTTTTACTTTTATTCCTGTTCACGTGGTGGGTCTCCACTGTAATCAATTATTCACATTAAATTTATAAATCAAAAGATTGATGTTTATTGTAATCTCTCTTCTTCTTCTTCTTCAATTTTCAGAAACCACTCAAAAACACTCTCACTCAAACCTCTCTCACCCCTGCAGATACCACTTAAAATACTTTTCCTCTATTCTTGTTCTGTTATTTGATTTTGCACCTGTTATTATCTCTGTTTTATTTTTTACTTATTTTTCATATTTTTCAAACTTAAAATGGCTGTAGAAATTATTGGGAGTACCGCGGGTGCCGGGAGTTTTGTTCTGGATCTTGTCAGGTGCTTGGCTGCTCCGATTGGGCGTCCATTTAAGTACTTGTGGAATTACAACACCAACTTCATAAATCTCGAAAAAGAAGTTGATAAGCTGAAGGATGCAAGAGTCAAAGTACAGCGTAAGGTTGATGCTGCTATAAACAACGTGGAAGAGATTGAAGAGACTGTGGAGAAGTGGCAGAAGGATGTCGATTCCATCATTGGTGAAGCAGAGCAGTTGATTCAGGAGAAAGCAAACAACCCGCATTGTTTCAAGGGATTGTGCCCCAACTGGATCGTCCACTACAAACGTAGCAAGAAAGCATTCAAGTTAAAGGAGAGTGATATCAGTCAACTCCTAGATAAGGAATTCAATGAAGTTTCTTATCCTACTAATCCACCAGAGATATGGCTTAGATCTAACAAAGATTACGTGGCTTTGGAATCCAGAACTTCCACTTTGAAGAATGTTCGGGATGCATTGAATGATGACAATATCTACATGATCGGTGTTTATGGGATGGGAGGTCTCGGCAAGACCACGCTTGTGCAGGAAGTTGGTAGGAAAGCCATGGAAGAACGACTCTTTGATGACATGGTTTTCATAGAAGTAACAGAAACTCCAAATATAGAGACCATTCAACTGAAAATTGCTAAAAAATTAGGTCTCGAATTGGGTAAGGAGAGTGAAGTAGCAGATAAGGCAAATAAGTTATATGCCAGATTGAAGATGAGTAAGAAGGATGAGAAGGGTGAGAAGGGTAAGAAGGATGAGAAGGATATGAGGCCTGTGAAGATTCTTTTGATTCTAGATAATATCTGGAAAGATCTTGATTTAGCGACTGTGGGAATTCCTTCCGGAGATGATCGTGGTGGATGTAAATTACTGCTCACAACCAGAGTCCGTGATGTGTTGGATAGGATGGGTTCTACCAATAATTTCACGATGGGTACTTTAAACGAAGAAGAAGCTTGGAACCTATTCCAGAAGATGGCAGGTAATTTAAGTTACAGAATTTTCACTTTTCATCAATTATATTTTATTGATTTTAATAATTTCTTTTTACTCGTACTACAGTCATGGCCCTTCTACAAAATCTGAGTTATGGTTTGATGTGAATAAATAGAACACTTAAGTAACATTCAGATTTATAGCTTGAAACAATAACATTTTAAACTCAAACGGTAGTCGAGATAATTCCTTTCTTCCTTGTGGTTCGAGTCTATTGACATTTAAGAACAATAATTTCAAATACTAAATACTATAGGGTGCATTTGGTTTGTAGGATTTGAAAATTAATAAAAATACTTCATAGGTTTGTTTATTTATTGAACACTCTTATAATAAAATATTAAAAATTAACAAAAACACTCATACCCACCTATTAAATACCGACAGCCGGCCACCATCGTCAGAGGGTGGTCGGAGTCATCGTATCGACGCACGACCGGCTAGATCTAGCCGGTCGTGCGTCAATATGACATTTTCTGGCCAGATCCACGATGGATATGGTCGGAAAATATCAAATCTACGACTAGATATGACCACATTTAGTCGTCAATTGCAAAGTTTGTTTATTCTCTAATTAAATATCTTGAAAATCAAAGTTTTATGTTTAATTCTAATATGCAGAAACAATTCTAACTTAGGGTTATTGTCTAATTACAAGCTAGTCTAATTTTATTTAAACTGTTCTTTCTAACCAAACTCTTAACAAACACCATACTTTTTCCTTAGGAAAATAAGTTTTTTTTTTTTTTTTTTTTTTTTTTTTTTTTTTTTTTTTTTTTTTTTTTTTTTTTTTTTTTTTTTTTTTTTTTTTTTTTTTTTTTAAAGAAATTTGAGGAAAAAAATTGAAAGAAAATAAAAGGTTATCATACACAATCATTTGGTGTTGGGGCTGCTGGTGGGGTTTGGCTGGGGAAAGTGGGGTGTGCAATCTTTTTAATTTTTTCTAATATTTCTAAGATTAAATCTAATTACAGAAATCCCCACTATGATGTTATAAAAAACAAAACAACCCTGACCTTAGTTAGCCATTATAACTTTTGACACCTAACAATGATATAGCAATGGAAAATGTGGCATAAAAGGGAAAGACTTAATTGCCCTTTTTATATAAAATATTAAGGGCTAGAAAGGTAATTTCAGATATTAAATCTTTTTTTATCTTTTAAATGTAACTCATTTATATTTTAATCTGTTTATTTTTAATTTTTAATTTTTTTAACATGTAATAACCGAATTTTTTTCTCTTTTATTTTTTTCTTATTTTTAATATGATCATAAAAATAATTTAATAACTGTAATTTTTTCTTTTAAATTCGTAGACTATTTTTTCTCTCTTTTTATTCATTTTTTTAATCTGATTCTTTTGGAACATAGTCCCAATAACCTTTTATTTTTCCTTTCCTAACCTCCTCTCTCTCTCTCTCTCTCTCTCTCTCTCTCTATATCTATATATATATATATTAATGTTATTTTGCTATAGTTATGTATACAACATAAATATAATTTTCTACTAATCAATAAATTTAATAGTGTAAATTTTTAACTTGAATATACAAATTTCGTGTACTAATAAATGGTAGTATTTTGTGTTTACAATGTTATTCAAAAACTTTGAGTGACACTAGGTGACCACTTATCTTTATCTTGCTAGCCTCCAATTATAAATTTTTACATAAATACAATTTTATTGATCCTTCGACAAAATTTGTTACACCTTAGATCTTCTTAATTTCAATTTCAATTTCTACATCTTCAATCTTCTATTTTGAATTTTGTTACACTTCTTTTATGATGATGAAGATGGAATTTAAAGTATATTCATTAAGATGCATGGTTTAAACTAATTCTTAATATTGGAATTAGATGTCGTTAGTTAATTATAGTGGTTAGTGTAAGACTCCTATAAATTCACAATAATGACAATTGACTTGGCAGCTTCATTTTACATTTCCTCATTTTTCATCAGCTTATTTTTCTTTTCTATAAATACTATCTTAAAGCTCTTGATAAGACCAATGTATTTCAATGGTTTTAGAGATGAAGATGGGAAAGAAAAATAAAAATGAGAAATATTACTTAAGATATTTAAAATACAGAAAAAGTTGATTGTTTTATTTATAAAATAGTCCAATAAGATAATAGCTAGAAATGTAATTAGTATAATCCTAACTTCCTGTGCAGGTGATGTAATTCAAACACCTGGATTGAATTCTTTGCCACAAGATGTATGCAAGGAATGTGGTGGTTTGCCTATTGTCATTTGTACTATAGCAAAAGCATTAAGGAACAAGAGAGATCCATTTAATTGGGAAGATGCCTTGGGTGAATTGAGAGCACCTTCACCGACAAAGTTTGTAGGATTATTGGAAGAGGATTACCAGAAGATTGCATTGAGTTACAAATATTTAAGAAGTGACGAATTGAGGAAGACTTTTTTGATTTCTAGTCTAATGGGAAATGATACTTCCATTTCAAACTTGTTCAAACATGTTGTCAGTTTGGATATACTTGAAGGAGCAAACCTCACAATGGAAAAAGCTCGAAATAGACTAAATAAACTAGTCCGTGAACTCAAAGACCTTTGTTTGTTACTTGAAGGTTCAAGAAGCAAACAATTCTCTATGCATGATGTGATCCGTGCTATTGCCATAACGATTGCATATACAGACCACCACGTTTTTACAGAGAGAAATGACATTGAGAAGGAATGGAAGGATAAAGACAAGCTTAGAAAATGCACAAAAATCTGCTTACTTGGAGATGATGTTATATGTCAACTTTGGCATGAAGAATTAGATTTTCCAAACCTTGAATTTTTCTATATGGATATGAATAATTCTTTCAATATCCATGAGAACTTATTCAAGAAAATGCCAAAGCTCAAAGTTCTGAATTTATTTAGAATACAACTATCATCACTGCCACAGTCACTTGATCTTTTGGCAAACCTTCAAACTTTGTGTTTATATGATAGCAAAATTAAAGATGTTGCCATTATTGGGAAGTTGAAGAAGCTAAAAGTCCTTAGCTTGCGAAATGCTGATATTAGGGAGTTGCCTACAGAAATGGGTCAATTGACTCAACTAAGGTTATTGGATTTAAGCAATTGTAGGGGATTGGAGGTTATCGCACCAAATGTGATATCAAAATTATCCCAATTGGAAGAATTGTATGTAAGCGGATGTCATATTCAGTGCAAGGTTGAAGTACTTAAGGAGTTGAAGGACTTGTCTAAACTGGCCAGTTTAGAAATAGATATTGAAGATAACAAGATGTTGCCTAAAGACTTCTTTTCCAAAGAGCTTAAAAGGTATAACATATCAATTGGACTTGGATGGTTTCACCCTTACAAGTGGGTCAATTACGAACCTTCAAGAATATTGGGACTTAAATATGATGATAACATCTCCTTAGAAGAATTACAAATTTACAAGAATGTTGAAATCTTACAGTTAACTGAAGTTTCAAATGATGATAACAATCTCCTGCCGCTTTTTAATGAAAAGGTTTGATTAATGTTAACCTCTTGCACTTCTTTATTACATATTTTTATATTTTCTTATGCTTATATCATCTGCTAACACATAGTTGTGATATTGAATTAATTGTTCTTCTTTTTTTGCATTTTTTCCGGTGATTTAAATTTTCTATTAAATTTCATTACCAAGTACTTCTTTTCAATAGTTATACATTGTAATTTCTGTCAAATTGAATTCATTCATTCATGCTTGATTTCATGAAGAAAATTATTAGAGAGACAAAAGACACATTGTTATTACTAAGACATGTCAACAATAAATCGATAATAACCAATTACTACTTCCTCTTTTTTTTTTTTTTTTTTTTTTTATTTTTTTTTTTCATATGAGTAAATATTGAAACATCAATTATCTTTGACTTTAGGTTGTTTTCTCCAATTTGATGGCCTTGCAACTTATCGGTATTTGTTCTAGAAAGATTTGGGACAGCCAACCTCCAACATCCATGTCTTCCTCTTACAACAGTTTGACGCATTTGACCTTGTGGAGTTGTAGAAATATAAAATATGCATTTCCATCTTTCATTGCCAAAAGCCTCATGCAACTCCAACACCTTGAGATAAGTGATTGTGACGTTTTAGAGGAGATTGTTGCAAAAGAAGGAGGAGCAAATGTAGTTGTCAATTTTGTCTTTCCACATATAACCTCATTGGTGCTTTGCAATCTACCAGAACTTACAGCTTTCTATCCTGAAATACATACTTCCAAATGGCCAAAGTTGAAAAAGTTGATGGTGAGAGATTGTGACAAATTCACTTCAAAACATATGAGCTTCCAAGAAAATAGTGAGGAGGGTGAACATATTTCCGAGCCAAAATCCATCTTCTTGGATGATAAGGTACGAATATCTTATTTCACTGTTTATTAGAAATAATCAATATAATTTATTAGAAATAATCAAAACAAGTAGGTTTAAAATCATCCAATATAATTCTAGAAATAATCAAAATATTTATTAGAAAAAATAATATAATTTATTTTTCTTGAGATTCATGAAAAGCATCCTCTTTTTGTCATTCTCCTGTTAATAATATTTATAGAAAATATGTTCTAAGGAAATTAAAATTACTAAAAAACTTTAAAAAAAAAAAACCAAAAAATAAATCCTATAAAAGTTTAACAAAAAATAATTAATTTTCAACGAACTTTTTTTTTTTTAATATTTAAAGATTTATCATAAATCTTCCTTAAAATCTTTAGAAATATTTTTGAAACTCTCATCAAAAACCTCATTTTTATATATATCAATCTATTTTTAAATCTTTACTCAATCTAGAAAAAAAATTATGTATCTATCAAAATTGAATTTTTGTGCATGTTCAATATTAATATTTAATTTCTTAAATATTAAAATACAATCCATTGTATTTACAAAATTATAATACAGCTACAGTATGGTGTTTGAAATCTATTTTTTAAAATTTTGTTTAAGAGATATATTAAATATTGTGTTTGAGTGGCAAATTTTATCGTCATAAATATTTAGTTTTCATTGAAAATTACGTTAATTATTACAAGTGTGTTTGGAATTCAGTTTGAAAACATCTCAACTTATATGTCTATAATGTTACAGGTTATAAATCACACCTTTTAATAACATTAAAAAATTTAATTAAAAATGAAATTTGTCCAAAGTCCATCTTATTGTTAGAATGAGCCCAACAGGAGTTGGAATCTAAAACAACTTTTAACGAAATAGGTCATCTGTCTTTGGCCTATGACTTCTAAGCCAATAATTAAAGTTTTGTTTTAAGAAAATAACAAACTAACTGGATTTTGTTTTGCTGGATTTGTAGATCGAATTGGATTTGAAGGTATTGGAATTGAATAATTAATTTTTTTCTTAAACTTATGTTTAATCAATAGCTTTCAAAAATAGTTTTTGAATATAATTTTGATATTGATCTGAAATTTAAAANAACATTTTAAAGATAAAAAAAGTATTTAACTTGCAAATGAAATATCAAACTTGTCTGATCAAGTGCCAATAAAAAGAAGGCCTTTGATGATCCAATACACATACAAATTGTTTCCCTTCATCCTTTTGAACTAATTGCAAACATCTCAGTTCTAATTTGTTAAAAATACTTATTACTTACAAAGTCATAGATTTAGAGCCACAAAATAATTGGATAAATGGAGTCTGATATCCAATTTGATTTTATTTAGATTCAAGTTTGTCTCTTATGATGGTAAATTTAAAGAATCATATGCAGTTACCACTTATCCATCTCGTTGTTAATTTAAATAGATTTTAAAGGTTAAGTGTCCTTTTTGGCTTTTTCAAGAAAATGTATCTTTTTCTTGGGATTCATGAAAAAGTATTCTCTTTTTGTCATTCTCCCGTTAATAATATTTATAGAAAATATGTTCTAAGGAAATTAAGATTACTAAAATACTTTTTAAAAAAAACAAAAAAAAATTAATTTTCAAGGAACTTTTTTTTTTAATATTTAAAGATTTATCATAGATCTTCCTTAAAATCTTTAGAAATATTTTTGAAACTCTCATCAAATTCATCAAAAACCTCATTTATATATATATCAATCTGTTTTTAAATCTTTTCTCAATTTAGAAAAAAAACTATGTATCTATCAAAATAGAATTTTCGTGCATATTCAATATTAATATTTAATTTCTTAAATATTAAAATACAATCCATTGTATTTACAATATTATAATACAGCTACAGTAGGTGTTTGAAATTTATTTTTTAAAATTTTGTTTAAGAGATTTATTAAATATTATGTTTGAGTGACAAATTTTATCATCATAAATATTTAGTTGTCTTTGAAAATTACGTTAATTATTACAAGTGTGTTTGGAATTCAATTTGAAAACATCTCAACTTATATGTCTATAATGTTATAGGTTATAAATCACACCTTTTAATTACATTAAAAAATTTAATTAAAAATGAAATTTGTCCAAAGTCCAACTTATTGTTAGAATGAGCCGGATAGAAGTTGGAATCTAAAACAACTTTTAACAAAATAGGTCATTTGTCTTTGGCCTATGACTTCTAAGCCAATAATTAAAGTTTTGTTTTAAGAAAATAACAAACTAACTGGATTTTGTTTTGCTGGATTTGTAGATCGAGTTGGATTTGAAGGTATTGGAATTGAATAATTAATTTTTTTTTTTTTTTAAACTTATGTTTAATCAATAGCTTTCAAAAATAGTTTTTGAATGTAATTTTGATATTGATATGAAATTTAAAATAAAAATAAAATGTCATTTACAAGTTTTAAAAAATATTGTAGTTGAGTTATAAAAAAACAATTTATTAGATTTTATTTTAAAATATATTGTAATTTGTGTTTGCCTTCTGAATTGTAAGCCAACAATTAAACTTTTGTTTTAAGAAAATAAAAGGCTAATAGATTTTGTTTCAATGGATCTGTAGATCAACTCTGATTTGGAGGAATTGGAATTACGTAATAAGTTGAGAAAGATTACATGGAAGAGTTTATCTAAACATCTTGAGATCGCTCATGATAAGTCAGCAAATATTCCATTTGGACTCCTTCAAAGATTTGAAAATCTGAAAGAGCTTGAACTATATGAAAATAATCAATACAAAGAAATTAAGTACCTACTTGATCTTCCAAATCTTGAAGTTCTACAAGTAAATGAGTGTAAGAAATTGATGACTCTGGAGCCATCCTCAACGTCTTTCCAGAATCTTAAGATTCTGGAAGTAATCAGCTGGAATGGGTTGATGATGAATCTAATGACACCTTCAATGGCTAGAAGTTTGGTGCAGCTGAGAGAAATGAGAATAAAAGATTGTATAATGATAATAGAAGTAGTAGAAAATGAGGGAGATACAACAACGAGTACTGAAATTGTTTTTAACAATTTGAAGAAGTTGTTACTTGAAGAATTAGAAAATCTAGAATGCTTTTGCTCTGGGAATTACTCTTTCAATTTCCCATCTTTGGAAGAGTTAGCTATATGGAAGTGCCCCAATATGAAGACTTTCTCTCAAGGAATCTTAAGCATACCAAAGTTACACAAAATTGATTATGACCAGGAGAAGAAAGATTTAGAGAATGGGGAGAGTGAGCTTAATACAACCATACAACAAGCACACACAAAAAAGGTATATTTATTCAATTAATTAGTTTAAATATTAAATTTTTAATAATATTATGTTTTTAGCGTTAATTATAAATAAATTATTTTACAAAGTTAGTTTGCATATAAGCTGAGCATTTTTGTTGAACTAGTGGCTAGCACGCATCTTAGACACCTCACTTTTGTACTACAGTACAACGAACTTCGTCTACATTTTTCAAAGAAATTTCTAAAACTACATTGTTTTATAAAATTATTTCTAACAATCATTAATTCATCATATTTTATTTTTCTCCTTGGTGGTTGTTAAATATATTAAAATTATTATATGTTTTTAAAGGAAATTTTAATTTTAATTTGATTGACATGATTTTTTTTAGGTTGAATCTGATTTGAAGAAATTGNTTTAGCGTTAATTATAAATAAATTATTTTACAAAGTTTGTTTGCATATATGCTGAGCATTTTTGTTGAACTAGTGGCTAGCACACATCTTAGACAAAGTTAGTTTGCATACAGTACAACGAACTTCGTCTACATTTTTCAAAGAAATTTCTAAAACTACATTGTTTTATAAAATTATTTCTAACAATCATTAATTCATCATATTTTATTTTTCTCCTTGGTGGTTGTTAAATATATTAAAATTATTATATGTTTTTAAAGGAAATTTAATTTTAATTTGATTGACATGATTTTTTTAGGTTGAATCTGATTTGAAGGAATTGACATTAACATTAAGTGGAAGAGACATCATGTCGATTTGGGAAGGAGAGTTTCAAGAAAGCTTTGGTGAAGTAAAAACTCTTGAATTGGTTAAGGATGAATATACAAACATTCCAATTCAAATTCTTCACAAATTTAACAGTCTCGAAAAACTCATATTGAAAATAAGTTCATACGAAGAGATATTTTCATCTAGAGAGGATGAGGAACAAGTTGAAGCACTTACAAAATTAAAAGTTTTAGAACTGTGGGGACTTTATAATTTAAAGTGCATTTCAAAACAAGATTCCCGATTGAGCTCAATTCTTCAAAATCTTGATTGTCTAAAGGTGATACATTGTCACAATTTGACTACTTTATTGCCATCTTTAGTGTCTTTCGAAAATCTGAGGATTTTACATTTAGTTTATTGCAATGGAATGCAAAACTTAATGTCATTCTCAACAATCCAAAGTCTGGTGCGACTAAAAGAGTTGTCTATAGCATGTTGTGAAATGATGATTGAAGTATTAGCAAATGAAGGAGATATAGAGAAAGGTGAAATTGTTTTTGAAAAATTGGAGAAGTTGTACTTGTTTAATTTAGAAAGTCTCGCATGCTTCTACTGTGGGAATTACACTTTAAAATTCCCATTCTTGAAAAAATTACTTGTGCGTGAATGCTCCAAGATGAAGACTTTCTTTGGAGGAGGCTTAAGCATGCCAAAGTTACAAGAACTGAACTATGAAAATTGTTCAAAGAGTGACATTGATACAATCATACAACAGTTACAAAATGGTAACTATCATTTACTTAACAATATATTTTTTCTATACACTTTTTCATTCTCTTTCATTGAATTAGTCAATTCTCAATGATCTTTATTATTGATTTTGTCTTTAGTTAAAATCCTCTAAGTGAATCAATTATACACTATCAAGTATATATAAAAAAGCTACAATATTATCATTTATATTTCCTTAAAGTTAATTTATACGTAGTTGTTGAGGAAATTCCTCATTTTCTTGATTAATTGATAAATTATGATCAATTTAGAGTTTGAAAATAGCATTCTCTACAATTTTTGCTCTTACTATTAATGTGTTGTTCTTTAATCACAGATTGTTCAGAGTTATGGGAAAGATTCCCATGAGAAGGAGATTTAAGAGTTTTAGTTAGACAAGAAAGCGTAATGTTCTTCAATACACAGCACAATCATGTGGTAAGTGTGTGGTATTAGATGAGTTGGCATTTCTTTTTAAACATAATTCATAAGAATAAATATTAGCCCTTTCAAAATCATCGATGGTCCTGCCAGTTCAACCACCGGCAATTTAGGTCATTTTCATCGTTTCAAATACTTATCATTAAAACTAATATAACATATGTATTAATATTTGTTAATCTTTCAATTTCATAGATGAGATTGCCAAGTTGTTCTCGAGTCTATTCACAACGATCAGCGAAATGATGTCGGTTATGCTTCAAGCAGATTTGAAGTTAAAAATTGGCGTCGTCTTTGTCTGGGCTCTAGGCGACAGGTCAACACAATGTGATAATATATGAAGCTATAGTTTTAAAACGTGATTTGCTTGACATGTTGTTTGAAAATGTGATTTTTGTGTTTCGTTGCTATTTACTTGTAGGATCGCGTGAAAGGTAGTGTTCGATTTAGAAGAGGTTCAGCAAGGATCATGAAGTGCAAATACATTGAATGGCTCTTGAATATATTTATCCGAAAATAAATCTGGTATGGTTTAAATTGTATTTCAACTTATGCAAGTACAAACCAAAGGTTCCTCACCTTTATAAGTCCAGCCTACTTTTTTTAGATTACCCTGGCAGTTTTTCAAGAAGGATCAAGTCTATTACCAGCCATATGTTTATTTACATTTAGCTTGATGCAAGATGAAAGCAAATAAATAATATTTTCAGCTAATTTATTTCTCCATTGTGTGCTATCTTAGTTTGACATGCTAATGTACTTAGTTTTGCTTCCTTTTTTCTTCAAAGATGACAGGGGAAGTTTCCTACAATGGCTACGAGTTGGATGAGTTTGTTCCCCAGAAAATGTCAGCTTATATAAGCCAAGAAGATCTGCATATAGCAGCAATGACTGTGAGGGAAACACTTGATTTTTCTGCCTGATGTCTTGGTGTTGGAAACATAGGTGGTAGGCTTCCTTAAATTTAATTCAAAGTTTTAGTTGTAGCGGCTGTATCAATTCCCACAAGTACTTAATGGGTAGAAAAGTATTTTTCTTCTGCCTATGCAGATATGATGATGGAGGTCAGTAAAAGAGAGGAGGTAGGAATTGTTCCACATCCAGATGTAGATACTTACATGAAGGTATATTTAGCTTATTTGTCTAGTTTCAGTCTGATGTTTTGTTCTAAATGTTGTTGGTACATGTATGAAATGCTCATGACAATTGTTGTTTTAACAGGCAATTTTTGCAAAAGGACAAAAAACAACCCTTCAAACAGATCATGTTCTAAAGGTATTTCTCTTTATTGAAGCTGTAACCATACTTTTTTTGGTTAATTTGTATCTGTACAAATGCTTTAAGATTATATGTTAACTTTCTTTGTGGCTTCTCAGGTCCTTGGATTGATATCTATGCTGACAGAAATGGTGGGAGATGATATAAGAAGAGGCATCTCTAGAGGTCAAAAAAGGAGACTAACTACAGGTAATTTTTTGTGGAAGCGTTGAAAGTTTTAGCATTCTGTACAATGCATCTGCTTCATGCCATCACTTGGTAGTAATGTTTATGAAGTAAGTAATTCAACAGACTAGAAGATTCTATTATAAACCTTAGAAGATCAATTTTTCATTAAATTATGTAGGGGAGATGGTTGTTGTTCCCACAAAAGCCCTATTTATGGATGAAATATCAAATTGTTTGGACAGTTCAACTACATATCAGATTGTTGCTTGTCTACAGCAGCTGGTGCATATCACAGATGCTACCTTATTGATTTCACTTCTTCAGCCAGCTCCAGAAACCTTTGAACTCTTTGATGACATCATTTTGATGGCAGAAGGGAAGGTTGTGTATCAAGGACCACATGATCAAGTTGTAGAATTTTTCAAGGAATGTGGATTCAGGCGTCCTCAAAGAAAAGGTGTAGCTGACTTTCTTCAGGAGGTAAGTACATTATAGCTTACAATCATTTTGTTTCCGTGCTCAAATGTTAGTGGTTCAGCTTTTATCTTAGTTCTTCAATTTTTTTTTTTTTTTTTCCTATCAGGTAATATCTAGAAAAGATCAAGCACAACGGTGGTACTGCACTGAAGATGCTTACCATTATGTTTCTGTCAGAATTCAAGGAATCTCCTCTTGGCTAGAAGCTTGATGAGGATCTTTAATTGCCGTATGGTAAATCCAAAAGCCAAAAGGATGCTCTTTCCTTCAATGTGTATTCTCTTTCTAAGTGGCAACCACTTAGAGCTTGCATGTCGAGGGAATATCTTCTCTTGAAGAGAAATTCTTTTATCTATGTGTTCAAAACAACCCAGGTTCTTCTAAACATTCTATTAATTTTCCTTTCCTTTTTTTTCTTCTGTTCAGTGTTTTTTTTTTTTTTTTTTTCAATATTTTGTATTCTTAAATTCTTGTTCAAAGGCTTGCAAAAATTTGAAACGTGTAAAGGAACTTGTTACAGATTATTATCATTGCAAGTATTACCATGACTCTATTTTTGTGGACTTCGATATTGATGTTTTTCATGCAACTTGCTACATGGGTGCCGTATTCTTTGGACTCATTATACTTCTTGTTGATTGTATTCTCAAGTTGTCTCTGACTACAGCAAGACTTCCAGTGTTCTTTAAACAGAAAGAATCGTGCTTTTACCCAGCTTGGGCTTATGCAATTCCAGCATCTCTTTTTAAAATTCCTCTTTTAGTAACTGAATCTGTGACATGGACATGCCTTATTATGTCATTGGGTACAGTCTTGAGGCCGAGAGGTGAGTTTCAATTCCAAAGGCCATGTTTATTAATGCACTGTATCCTTTCCTACTGAAGTATGCATTTTTTCTGTTTATTTTTATCTTATTTTATCAATCAGTGCCCCAATATCTAAAGCTTATCATCAAGCATTCTCCAAAATGACAGTATACTGAATTCTCAGGATTTGCTTTGTTAATCTTGTGTAGCAAAGTAAAAGAAAATGATTACATACTCAGGATATAAATTCCTCAACAATATGCGTAAATTCACTTTTCAAATTATTTATATGTTGTTGCTTTAGAAAGCTTCTCATTTTCTGGTGGCTGAGGTTCTGATATTTAATTGATTGTTGTGATTTTAGGTTTTTCCGTCAGCTCATTCTACTTTTCGCCGTGCACCGTACCTCTACATCTATGTTTCAGTTTTTAGCAGCAGTCTGCCAGACTCTGGGTGCTGCCATGACAGCCGGTGGTTTTGCAGTATTAATAGTCCTACTTTTTTGTGGTTTCGTTATCACGCATTGTAAGGCTATTTGGCCCTTCTCCAATTGATTTCAGAATCATCATCTTGAAGGAAAAAACTTATGCTTCTGTTATTGGTTGCAGCCTCCAATGCCTGGGTGGTTGAAGTGAGCTTTTTGGTTTCCCCTCTTTCATATGGAGAGATAGGCCTTTCTGTAAATGAATTTCTTACTCCTCGGTGGCAAAAGGTGAGCTCTCATAGGAACACTTTTTGGTTCCTCTAATCAAGAAAATCGTGCAACAATCTTGTATTTAATGAAACTATTAGTTCTTTTTACTATTTCTTGTGTTGATAGCTAGATGATACTTTTAGGTATGTTAAAATCTAGAGAAAGTACCTCATTTCCTCTGTCTGCTTCTTAATGTTATTGTAGAAGCTGCCCACAAACAGTACCATAGGGACACAAATACATGAAAGTCATGGATTAGACTTTGATGAATATTATTTCTGGATAGCACTGGGCGCCTTGTTTGGTTTTGCTTTACTCTTTAACATGGGTTTTATCTTGGCCTTAAGTTTCTTAACGCGTAAGTTCATCTGGTTATCATGTATTAACTTAAGAAGAGTAAATGCTACTCTGGTTTATTCACCCAGCTGAATGCAAATGCAGCTCCTGGATCATCTTTGCAAGAAAAGTTGGCTAAGATTCAAGGAAGTCAAGATTCCAATGAAGGTAAACTTGTGGAAGAAAAGTCCAAGAATTCTGCCATGAAAGGTGACTTTAATTTCTTACTTCCAGTTCAGATTGTTGTCCACTTTTGTTCCAGTTGTATTTGTTTAATGTTTGACAGTATTTTCTGTACTGTCTTATCTTAATTAACAGGTGGGATGGTCTTACTTTTTGAACCACCTTATCGGTAACATTTCAGGATGTGAAGTACTATGTTGACATCCCTGGGTACTCCTCGTTAACCGATCTGCATTCACAATTATTTGCATTGCATAATATTTAAAGGCATAAGATTTCACGCCCTCTTTTCTGCATTTTTTTGTCTTTAACTTTCCTTTAGATCCCTTTGGTTTTAGGAGAAGAAGAAACTCCAACTACTTTCTGATGTAACCAGTGCATTAAGGCCTGCTGTTCACACAGCATTAATGGGTGTTAGTGGAGCTGGAAAAACCACTCTTCTAGATTGTATGGCGGGAAGAAAAACTATTGGCCATATCGAGGGGCAAATAAACTTGCTGAATCTCCTCATTGTTTCCTGGCTCTTGTCCTATAAGTTGATTGCAAGCCATACAAAAAGTAAACCTGCAATTCCCTGTAGTTCAATTCCGTTAAACCAAATAGAAAGGGATTGACCTCATCAAATGAGCATATATAGAAGCTCATTGGATGGCACTCATCAGAAAATTTAAATCTAGCAGTTTAACACTTAACAATGGCTGGCATTTTGTAACCAAGGATGTTCTGCATTTAAGGAGCAAACAGTAGTAAACATTTAATTCTCATATTTCAAGTAAAAATGTTTGCAAATAGCAGTGAAGTTGCAGAGCATAAAGCTGTAAACATAAAGCATCACTATTCAATTAAACCAAATGTTATCTAGCACTTGTTAATCAGTAACCCGTTTCTTCAGATCAGGGTCAAGCAGCTTCCGAACGAGGTCTTTTGCAGTATCAGAAACTTTAGGCCAAACAATATTCTTTCATCAAACAAATTGATCCTTTTCATTGAAGTTAACACATGTTGATGCTCGACATTTCTAATTTTGCTCTCTTCTTGTCATATATCAGAGTCAAGTATCCAATATCATATCTTTGATCCAACGCCAATAATTTTGCCTTGTGGTTCCTTTGGCTTCTTTTCTTCTGGAAAGGAAATTAAAAAAACCAATGAATTGAAGATAACTAAGAGATCTAAACCCGTTTGATTTAAAATGATGGATATATTAAAACATATATTTTTATTTCAAATGTTTTTCTTATCAACGGTCTTGTTCTTTTCATCGATGAGATTCAATACTTGGATACTTCCTTTTATTTAAGCTGCTCATCATTCAACATCTGTTTCTGGTTTTATTGCAAATCATTTTTTTACCCAGTCGGCCAGCCCTTTTTAGCCATCAGAATTATCATGTCCCCTGTATAGTAGTAGCCAAGTGCAGGTCATTCAATAGTTCGATAAAGTTAGAAGAGAAGATTTTTAGCTGAAAGACTAACTAGGAAAAAGGAGATGGGAATGGGACATGTCTATTTCAAGAGAAACCTGCTATTGATTCTTCAACTTTGGCTTGTATAAGTTTAAGAACAAGGATTATCCCCTTCAGTGTGCAATTGAGGTTTCCATACTAACTTCTATCTACTAACTCTTGATAAATTACATCCATCACATTCATGTGTAAATTTCCCATATACAAAACATAATATTTGGGAAAATAATACGAGCTAATGATACAAAACATAATACTTGGGCCAAAAACATAATTCATATGATCGTGTCTAATATGAATGGAAAGTTGAAAGTTACATGATCTGAAATCAAGTTTACATCTCAAGAGATAATTCACAAGTTAGACTCGTAAGATTTTTTGTTAGTTATCTAACCGTTAGTAATATGATTTTTACCCGAATAAAATATAAATATATGACTAGTGGTTAATAAAACATATATTAAAAAAATAAAATCAAAACTATACATTGTCATTAATGCCTGTATCATAAAATCTTTAAAAGAGAGAAGAAGATGATCATAATTCATTCATTAATTACATAGAAATACTATTCACAGGTCAAGTGAATTAAAAAAAAAAAAAAAAAGCAAGCATTTATATCTCCTACGGTTTTGATACCATGAAGATCTTTAGAGAAAAATAAAAATAGGTCCACCAGGGCAATGGTAAAAGCGGACAAATTTAGAAACTACACACCGCAAGAGAGAATGGTGAAAGTTTAACAGGATTTGTCTGATGGCGAGATCCTCTCCTTCTCATAAACTACTCAAGCTACAGTGCATAAAATAGAGAGGTCATGTGGTCGCCGTCACTGGGAATGAAACATAAGTTAGACCAGCTCTGAAGGAAGCAGATATAGGACTATCCATGGGAATTCAAGGGACTGAAGTTGTGAAGTAGCACTCGGATATCGTCATCATGGAGGATAATTTTGCTTCTATCGCCAAGGTTTTGAGATGGGGAAGATGACCAACATCTAGAAATTCATTCAATTCCAGCTTTTCAAGTATTAAAATCATACTAACCACTCATGGGTGATCGAATGATGATTAGACAAAAATTTTTGGGTATATTACTCAAGAGGTCAAGTATATTCAAGAGATATTGCATAATTGTAATTCAACATAGCTGCCATATCAATTTATAATTCAAGAGATAGACTGATGATGTAATTCAACAACAATTAGCATAGCTAACTGTTATGACTAATTAGTCTAATCAAATATTTTTGGGAATATTTTGTCATCTAAGAGCTGAGAAAAAGCTGGAAAGAACATTTACGATTGTCTAATCGAGGCATAGTAAGATTTTGTGTGACATGAAAGGGCCAGAAAGCAATTCGATAAAAAGTAATGGCAACTAAGCAAAACGTAAGTCAGCTGGAGCCTGGTTGGGAGCAT